AGTCCCCCATCACAGAGAGGCACTCCTCGATGTTAGCCTTGAATAAGGCTGCTCGCCTCTGCCTCTCCTCAGGAGGGAGGAGGTCACAGAGACAGCAGGAGGAGGCAGGAGGAGGCAAGGTCAGCGTGACGCGGACCCAGGCATCCTTCACAGATGTCGTGCCGGTCGAAGCTCAGCATGTAGCCGGTCTTGCAGGACGAGCACAGGCGGCTGGTGCTGGTGTTGGACATCGTGTTCTTGTAAAAAACAGTACTGGTTGCTTGCTGAAGAAAAATGGGAGCCAATTACCCGGTCTCACCATAATTTATATGGACCGGGTGAGGCCCACACAGCAGGTGGGCATGGACAAAATTTTTCAGTGCTGCGCTTTGCGCGACAGGATGAAACCCACCAGCGACAGCCTTAAAGGGCGAAGCCTATACGAAATAGAACATATGGTTAAAACTACATTTGATATATTTTGCACTGTTTTGCACTACAAGAAAGAAGCCTAATAATTGATTTGTTTTTTATTTTAAAACTCTCTGGGCCTAGCAGGGGAGTTTTCTTGATTGAGATTTTTTTTGTGGTATAGCAGTTTTCAAAATAAATGATGGCAATAGGACACCCTATGCTTTTTTCCTCATTCCTATTGTGAATTTTATACCAAAACATATCATGTTATATATTGTTACCACCGCCATCCATCACAATATGCCATATTGTACATCCCTGTTGTACATGTACAGTAGTCCCTCGTTAATTCGCGGTTTGTTTATCGTGGACTTACTCTATAGCGGTTTTTCAAAATAAGTGGCTGATTGATGGATGAGCCGCACGATCAGCATGGAATTTTTATTTAAAATAAATTATTTAAAATTATTTCTCACCTGCTACACCTTAGTGCAGCCCATAGCTGCAAGATCAGCATCCTCCTGCAGCTGATCAGCTGTTCTCCTTGCAGAGTGGAGAAGTGGGCATGACCAAGAGTACTTGCAGGTGGCAAAGAGGAGCTGAGGCAGGGAGCTGAAATCATGACATTCTGTGCTCTTTTTAGAGTGTTTAGAATTTAGAAACATTGTTTAGATTATTGCAAGAATGTGGGAAGGGTTTAAAATGCCTATATATACATGTATGCATACACACACACACACACACACATATGTATACACAGTATATCCATCCATCCATTTTCTTCCGCTTATCCGGGGTCAGGTTACGGGGGTTGCAGCCTAAGTAGAGAGGCCCAGACTTCCCTCTCCCCAGCCACTTGGGCCAGCTCCTCTAGGGGAATCCCAAGGTGCTCCCAGGCCAGCCGAGAAACATAGTACCTCCAGCGTGTCCTGGGTCTTCCTCTGGGTCTCCTCCCAGTGGGACGTGCCCGGAACACCTCGCCAAGGAGGTGTCCAGGAGGCATCCTAACCAGATGCCCGAGTCACTTCAACTGGCTCCTTTCGATGTGGAGAAGCAGCGGCTCAACTCTGAGTCCCTCCCAGATGACCGAGCTTCTCACCCTATCTCTAAGGGAGAGCCCAGACACCCTGCGGAGAAAACTCATTTTGGTCGCCTGTATCCGTGATCTCGTTCTTTCGGTCACAACCCAAAGCTCATGACCATAGATGAGGGTAGGAACATAGATCGACTGGTAAATTGAGAGCTTCGCCTTTTGACTCAGCTCTCTCTTCCCCATGACAGACCTGTACAGCACCCGCTTCACTACCGACGCTGCACCTATCTGCCTATCGATCTCACACTCCATTTTTCCCCTCATTTGTGAACAAGATCCCAAGATACTTGAACTCCTCCCCTTGGGGCAGGACCTCCTCACCAACCTGGAGAGGGCACTCTATCCTTTTCCAGCTCAAGGCCATGGCCTCAGATTTGGAGGAACTGATCCTCATCCCGGCTGCGTGACACTCAGCTGCAAACCACTCTAGCGAAAGCTGTATTTCACGACCTTATGAAGCTAATAGGACCACATCATCTGCAAAAAACAGAGAAGCAATCCTAAGACCACCAAAACGGATCCCCTCAACACCTTAGTTGCACCTAGAAATTTTGTCCATAAAAGTTATGAACAGAATTGGTGACAAAGGGCAACCTTGGCGGAGTCCAACTCTCACCGGGAACGAGCCTTATTTACTGCCGACAATGCAGACCAAGCTCTGACACCAGTCGTACAGGGACCTAACAGCCCGTATCAAAGGGCCTGGTACCCCATACTCCTGGAATACCCCCCATAGTGCTCCCCGAAGAATGCGGTCGAATGCCTTCTCCAAGTCCACAAGGCACATGTATACTGGATGTGCAAACTCCCACGCACCCTCCAGGACCCTGCTGACGGAGTAGAGCTGGTAAAGTGTTCCATGACCAGGACGAAAACCGCACTGCTCCTCCTAAATCCGAGGTTCAACTATCCGATGGACCCTCCTCTCCAGAACTCCTGAATAGACCTTACCAAGGAGGCTTAAGAGCATGATCCCTCTGTAGTTGGAACACACTCTACGGTCCCCTTTTTTGAATAGGGGGACCACCACCCAGTCTGCCAATCCAGGAGAACTGCCACCAATGTCCACGCAATATTGCAGAGTCATGTAAGCCATCAAAACCCCACAACATCCAGAGCCTTAAAGAACTCCAGGCACATCTCATCCACCCCTGGGGCCCTGCCACCGAGGAGCTTTTTAACTACCTCGGTGACCTCAGCACCAGAGATTGGAGAGCCCGACCCAAAGTCCCCAGGCTCTGCTTCCTCAGTGGAAGACGTGCCGGTGGGATTGAGGAGGTCTTCAAAGTGTTTTGCCCACCGATCCACGACATCCCGAGTTAAGGTCAGGAGCACACCACCTCCACTATAAATAGTTTTGGTGGTATACCACTTTCTCTCTCTGATACGCCGGATGGTGGACCAGAATCACCTCGAAGCCGTACAGAAGTCATTTTCCATGGCCTCTCTGAACTCCACCCATGCCTGAGTTTTTGCCTCAGAGCTGCATGTCGCTTGGACTTCCTGTACCCATCAGCTGCTTCCAGGGTCCCACAGGCCAAACAGGCCCGATAGGACTCCTCCTTCAGCCTGACAGCATCCCTCACTGCCGATATCCACCACCGGGTTTGAGGGTTACCGCTGCAACAGGCACTGACAACCTTGCGACCACAGCTCCGCTAAGCCACCTCGATAATACAGGTGCGGAACATGGCCTACTCTGACTCAATATCCCCTACCTCCCTTGGAACATGTTCGAAGCTCTCCCGGAGGTGGGAGTTAAAGCTCCTTCTCACGGGAGACTCTGCCAGACATTCCTAGCAGACCCACACAATGCGTTTGGGTCTGCCAGGCTCCGCCCCTCTCTTCACCCGAGTGTCCAAGACATGCGGCCGCTGATCAGATAAGGCAACGACCAAGTCGATCATCGAACTGCGGCCTACGGTGTCCTGGTGCCAAGAGCACATAAGGACACCCTTATGCTTGAACATGGTGTTCGTTATGGACAATCCATGATGCACACAGAAGTCCAATAACAGAACGCCACTAGGGTTCAGATCAGGTGGGCTGTTCCTCCCAACCACACCCCTCCAGGTCTCACTGTTATTGCCCACGTGAGCGTTGAAGTCCCCCAGCAGAACAAGGGAGTCCCCAGGAGGTACACTCTCCAGTACCCCCTCCAAGTACTCCAAAAAGGGTGGGTAATCTGAGCTGCTGTTTGGCACATAAGCACAAACAAATGTCAAAACCCTTCTCCCCACACGTAGGCAGAGGGAGGCTACCCTCTCGTTCACTGGGGGGAACCCCAACTTACAGGCACCAAGATGTGTTCAACAAGTATCCCCATTCCTGCCCGGCGCCTCTCACCAGGGGCAACTCTAGAGTGGAAGAGTGTCCAACCCCTCTCAAGCAAACTGGTTCCAGAGCCATGCATAGAGGTGAGTCTGACTATTTCTAGCCAGAAACTCTCAACCTCACACACCAGCTCAGGCTCCTTCACCACCAGAGAGGTGACATTTCACGTCCCAATAGCCAGCTTCTTTAGCAGAGGATCAGACCGCCAGGGCTCCTGCCCTCGGCCACCATCCATCATACATACATCGTACACAGCGTTTCCCCTACCATTATACAAGTGGGGTGCCCCACCCCATCAACAGAACTGAGCACTCCGCCTACCAAACCAAACTTGCCCCCACCCGGCACTGACATAGCACTAAGCGAAATACAGACGCTCTAGCTAAAAAGCCAAAGGCGTCCTTTCCCTCATGCTGAACACACACCCCCAACCAGTGCTCTCAAAAACTGTTGGTACAAGCTGCACTCAGACATGTCTCCGTCCCTCCCGTCAACAAAAATCATGGATGAGATGAGCACCCTGCCATGGCAAGTTAACTAGGGGAAACACTGATATATATATATATATATATATATATATATAC